CTCTCCCCCTCTCAAAAATGAATACATGTTCAAAAAAATTAAAAGGTAAAAAATAGATGAAATTAACACTACTACAATATTTACTTAATCTAATACCTGCATATTTAAAAAAAATTTTTTTTTAACGCTTTTTATTTCTGAGAGAGACAGTGTGAGCAGGGGAGGGTCAGAGAGAGAGGGAGGCACAGAATCTGAAACAGGCTCCAGGCTCTGAGCTGCCAGCACAGATGTGAACTCACAAACTGCAAGATCACGACCTGAGCCAAAGTCGGATGCTTAACCAACTGGGTCCCCCAGGCGCCCCCCTCCCAGAAACTATTTCACCCTCCTCCTCGCCTCTCCTCAGCCCCAGCAGGGAGATCCCGCCTCTCTGGGAAGAGAAGCAACCGGAGGTGCAGGGGCACAAGCTGCCCCTCTGCCCATCCGCCTCCGCAGGGCCTCTCCCGTCACCGGGGCCCAGCCGGTGCGGTGCTTCCCACTACAGCCGACCCTCTCCTCGTGTGCTGGCCCTTACCTCCTTGGCTACGTGAGAACATCACTCTAGCGACTCAGCTCCTCCTCTCCGGCTTCATCCAACTTTCCCTGGCCGGCTCATTCTGAAGGGGTGCTATCTCTTTCATACCCTGCCCTTTACGTAGTGGTTATAACAACCCCGTTAGGCAGGTGGGACATTCCCCGCTTTACAAACAAGAACAACTCCCTATAGGAGAATTCCATCTTATAAATGTGAATGGCATGAAAGAATTTAAAAATAAATAATTAGACAATGACCCTCGTTGGATGAATCCGTTCACTCAAATTCTGATGGAAACCTGACGAGGGAGGAACCTGGCTGGCCCCAGCCGAACCCAGTGAACAATCTTCCCTCACTAAGGGTGGGAGAAGCACATTCTGCTTCTCTACAGAGCAGCACTTATGAAAAGCTCCTGTTAAAAGAGTTGAATCGGATTGGATCAAGCTTCTAGAGCTAATTTCCACTCTATCTACAAGAACTAAGGAGGTAAAGGAACAAGTTAAATAGCACTGCCAAGTGAGAAAGTGAGATACCCTAGAGGATAAGTGACCTGCAATAAGTCAATGTCATGCGGAAAAGGTAGGCAGTAAGAGGAAGACTGTTTTGTGGTAAAAGGGGGAAAAAAAGTTAAGGACCCAATGTATTAAATAGGCCTCCTCTGGCTCCTGACTTTCATCACATTGATATTTTAAACAACTGGAGAAATAGGTGTGTTTGAGCACATCACGTGACTAACGCTAGTCTTGGCAAGAGTGAGGATGGCCTTGTTCATCTCCGCATTTTGAGCGGACGCACGCGGAAGCACGCAGGGGTGAGCTGCCGTGCTGTGTGGCGCTGGGGCCGGAAGCTGGGGCCGGACCACCGGAATGTGAAGCTTCTCCTCCCAGAGTCAGCCTGGAAGAGGCCGCCTGGGACTTGGCTCCCCACTTAACAGATGGCGAAAAGGCTCAGAGAGGCGGAACGGGAACTAAGCCACCTGCGTGCCCCTGCCCCCTCCACCCCGTGCCAGGTGGCCTCTGCCGACTTTCCGAGGCAGGGTGGGTGCGAGGAGGAGGACTGACCAGTTCAGCGTACTTCTTGCACAGAGCAGCCAGCTTCTCCTCTGGGGTGCTCAGCGTGTTCAGTGTCTGCATCAGCAACGTGATCTCCTTCCCTGCGAAGCACAGGGAGCAAAGGCATGTAACCCCTTCTCTGGGGGTCTCCCCAGGCCCGGGCCCACACTCTTCTGCCTTGAGGCAGCCCTCTCTCCTCACACTTGACACTCCCGTGTGTTGAAGTGGCTGCCAACCCATTAGACTGTGTGCTTTCGGAGGACTGCCGCCAAGCCAACTCTGCCTACTGCTGTGGCCCCAGGACTGCCCGGTACTGTCCCCAGGGCCCACCGCAGAGGACCCGCTCAACAAACGCTTAATAAATGAATGACTATGTGGAGACTCCCTGGTGAACGCCAGGGGTGGGAGAAAAAAAGCTGCCTGCCCTGCCGACAGGAGAAAGAAAGATCCATCTGCAAATCAAGTGCTGCTGTTTCAATGCAAGGGTGGCCCTTCTGAAAGAAGGAGGATGCAAAGGGAAAAGGCCTCCTCGAGAACTACCAAACTCGTCAACAGAGGTGGCCCAACAGCGAGCTGTATTTTTTTCCTCCCCAAGCCCTCCCAAACGGTGAACTTTAAAACGAATATACCTTCCAATATTTGATCCTAAGTTTAAGAAAGAACAAAAACAAACAAAAAGCCCTCTTTCAGCCAGGAGGACAGGCAGGGGGTGGGGAAGCAGGGACTGACACACGGGTATACTATCGCCTAACTTTGATTCTTCGACACATCCTAGCCCCCAACTCTCCAATGACCCTCCCTCTCGGTCTGTGCCTGAGTCAGGGAGTCTTCCTTCCGTCTCCCTGGGAGGCCGCTGTACACAGCACAGCAGCAGGCCCCTGAAGTGTCAACCTTAGGAGGCTCCAAAAGATCAGTGTGGAGCCCCCAAAGCACATGTACAAATCCAACTCACGGGGGTTTCGGTTTGGCTCCTAGCATATTAGTTGTCAACTGTTAAAAATCCAGAGAGATTTCACGTAACTCTGGGTAAAAGAAAGGAAAAAGGAAAGAAAAAAAAGGCTGGCTACACTTAGCCTGTAATGTCACATGCCATTATCAACATGCAAGGACCAGGTGGCAATCACCTCTTTGGATGAAGTGGGCATGTCTTGGTCTTCACGTGGCCCCCTGTCTAACCTCGCTTATTTGAGTTTTCAACCCTGGTCTAGTCTAAATCTTACTGTAGAGATGTGAAAACTAAGGACCAGAAAGGAGAAAGGTTTTGCTCAAGTTCACAGGGCAGGTTACAGAGAGCGCTGGCTGACACAGGAGCCCACTCAGGCCCCCTGCTCTCCATTTTCTCGAAGACAGAGAAGGCAGGCTACATTTCGGTTCTCACTTGCTTGCAGGGCCAGAAGTCCCTGTGCAGTGAACAACTCACACACCTCTGTACTATGGGCCACAGCCCTAGCTTCGAGCAAACTAAGGTAACCTGCTGCCCTGGAAAGCAGTCTTCTGTGAATCCTGGCAGAGAAGGTCAGCCCAAGGAATGCTGGGTCCAAACTCCCCCACCTCACCAGCCTCACAAGAAGCTGCCCTCTGCTCACCCAGACCCTTGGCTTTCTTCTTCTCCTGTGGCCTTCGGTGGTCTCGGTCTCCAACCTCGTCACTTGCCCGGATCTCATCTGTGCCTGGCTCCCCTTTAGAGGTCTCCTTCTCACCATTGACTACTGGGGTCTCTGGCTCAGGCTCCCCATTCCTCGAGGCATAGGTCCGGGACTTGTCTGTATCTTCGGGTTCAGCAGGCTCACCCTGGGCCCCATCCTCACCTGGGCCCCCCTGATTGTTGTCTACACAGTAGGTACTCAGGATGTCTTCCAGCTGGCGACTCAGCTCCTCAGAGACATCTCGAAGGGCCCCGGACTGAGCTGTTTTGGCTTGTGCTCCTACAGCAGGACAGGCCAAGGGGCAAAATGAAAAACAAGACGGTTATACCAGCGGTTGGGATTTAAAGGCCCAAACTTACGGTGTGGGTTAAATGCTGCCCACCTTCTTTAAGCATCAATTTATTTATTTACCTATAAAATGATATAACTATGTCCCACTATTGCCCAACCATATGTTGTGAGTGTCAAAGAAATCAAAGCATTCAGCACTTAGGGTTGGCACGTAGCTGGAGCTCAACGGCTAGGCCATCCCCTTCTCCTCCTCGAAGAATCATTTCTTGCTATTAAAAAAGTTCCAGAAAAGCCTCCAACACAAAGAGCAGTTACCCACTGGGGAATGAGGGGTTTCTAACCCAGGTTGGCTGGTCGGGTGTCTCATTTGGCTGCCCCCTGATTTAATCCCGTCCGAGGCTTCCCTCAAGAGTTCTGTTCCAGGACTCACAGTGGGAGGCGCTATCACCCCCCCACCCCCAGGAAGCGGTGCGGATCTGGGGGAGGGAGGAAGCGGGTGGCACAGACAGCGGCCAAGGCCTCTGACTCCAGAAGCTACCCTAGCGCACCACAAACCCCTCACCCTGCCCGCTGGAAAGCAGAGCTGGCACACACCCTCAGTCTTCCCCGGGGTCTGGCTGGAAGAACCTTCGGCTTCGGGCGCAGGAGCCGCCTGGTTGGGCCGCCCCTGGGCTCCCTCTGGTCCTGCTTCCGCTTGCCCTGGGCTGCTTTTTGGATTGGAAGTGTTGCCCGACTGTTTGGCAGCCCCATTCTTTTTGTCTTGGTTCTTCATTGTAGTCTGCAGTGCTAGGCTGGGAGCGGATCCTATGGAAACAAACACACTCTCTATTCTCCAGACTTCGACCGTCTTCACAGCCTGGACCCGAGATCCCGGTACCGGGTGCACAGAGCTTCTTAGAACACGCCGGCCGGCCTTCACGAGAGGGAGCCAACGGTTCCGTCTCCGGCCGGCGAGGGCTCCTTTCTCGATCCGAGCCGCTTCCCGGCACTACTCGACCCCCTCGCCGCAGGCCGAGCGCGGGATAGGCTCAGAGCCGGAGACTGACGTGGCGGGACGCTCGATTCCCATCCCTCCCCCGGCCCCCAGGCCCCACGTGGGCCCCCCCGCACGCGCAGCCACCCACGCCCCGCGCGCCCTCCAGCGGCGCGCCCCGCCCGCCAGCGCATGCGCAAAGACCTCAGCCCTGCCCCCCCCCACGGCCCGAACCCTCGCGCGGAATCGGCGTGATTCCCACCACTGACCGAGAGCGTTGAGGCCCACAGGCCCAGTGGTTGCCTCGTTCCCCCAGACTCCGCGACACGCACCTCACCGCCGACGTCCCGACAGCTTCGCCCGCTCTGGCCTCGCACCGGAAACCCTTGGCAACCGCTGCCGGCCGAGCCGCCTTCTCCTGCCACAGCCAATCAATAGTCAGCGCTCTCGCGGGGCTTGCTGGGAAAGATGAAGCGATGGCGGCCTCTGAGGCGGGGGAGTTGGGAAGGCGGGGGAGGAAAAGGACTACAAGTCCCGTCATGCGCCGGGGGCTGGCCGCCCACACCCCCCAATCTCCCAAGATGCAACGGAAAGAACTTTAGTCCTGGGAGCCGGGTACCCCGGAGGTCTGAAAGGACCTAGTCATTCTGCACGGATACACGACACGAGTCCTTCCTGTTCCTGTCATGCAGAAGTTATGATTCAGGTCCAAAGCCCTGCGGCTGGCTGTTCTTTCCTGCACGCCCCGACCAGCCCTTACTCCCCTTTTGTGAACGCCCGTGACTAGGAGGAACTCTGAGGACGAGGGATAGAATGAATATTGGGCTGGAATCGGGAGATATGTATTCCAGTCCTAACTTCATCACTAATTTGCTGTGACCAGACATTTTCCGTATTCAAACGAAAACTCTTCATAACAATAGCAGTTCTTTGAGCGCTTACCGTGTGCTTTCCCATCTTCTAGCTTAATCCTTGTAACTACTTATCAAGATGAGTAGTATTTGTTATTCCCATTTGCGTCTGAGGAGAGTAAGGTAAAAAGATAACTTTGTCGCATCGCTATGAGTGGTTCCAGCAGGGACTCAGAAGCAGGAAGTCTGGCACCAGTACCCGTTTTAACCACTGAACTACCCTCCCTAACTCGTACCCAGAAGAAATGAACATGGCACGCTTTCCTCGAGGATGAGTCAAGGTAATTTGTGAAATTATGTCCTCCCCTTCTCTATTACTAACCCTAGTCCTTCTTTGGAAGGGGCTGAGGGGCATCTGCAAGAAGTTTGGCCACAGTAGATTCCTGAGCCCTTTCCTTTCCCTTTCCTTTTCCCTTTCCCTTTCCTTTCCTTTCCTTCCTCTCCCTCCCTCCCTCCTTTCCTTCCTTCCTTCCTCTTTCTTTCTTCCTTCCTCTCTTTCTTTCTCTTCCTTCCTTCCTTTTTTTTTTTAAAATTTTTTTTAATGTTTTATTTATTTCTAGGAGAGAGAGAGAGAGAGACAGCGTGAGCAGGGGAGGGTCAGAGAGAGAGGGAGATACAGACTCTGAAATAGGCTCCAGGCTCTGGGCTGACAGCACAGAGCCCGACGCAGGGCTCGAACCCACGAACTGCTAGATCATGATCTAAGCGAAAGTCGGACGCTTAACCGACTAAGCCACCCAGGCGCCCCTCCTTCCTTCCTTTTTAATGTTTATTTATTTGAGAGAGAGAGAGAGCGAGCGAGCGAGAGAGAGCGAGAGAGCGAGAGAGAGAGAGAGAGCAGGTGAGGGGCAGAGAGCAAGGGAGATACAGAATCTGCAGCGGGCTCCAGGCTCTGAGCTAGCTGTCAGCACAGAGCCCGATGCGGGGCTCGAACTCAACAAATGTGAGATCATGACCTGAGCCGAAGTCAGACACTTAACGACTGAGCCACCCAGGTGCCCGCCTGAGCCTTTTCTTTGACTGGTCCACCCTCTGCAGACAAAATCCCAGTTGCACCCGGCTAAAGGGGGGAGAACCCAAACTTTCTCCAAATGTAAGATCACAGTTCTTTATCCAGCTGCCTATAGATAAGAGAAAAACAGCCAACCCATGTGCCTGGAATTTAATGTAGAAATGGTCTGACTTTTGTTTCCAGACAATCCTATCCATGCTCTCTGCCTTTTTTGTTCCCAGTATAGTCTTAATCTTGCCAGAATTTCCCAGTTTTTGCAGGTGCTATTCCAGCTTCCAAAATGCACTTCTGGCAAAAACAATAAATTGAGGCCCAGCACAAGGGCCACTTCAGAGCCTTCCCAGTGCTCTGTAGTCTGTCACATCTCCCTATGTCTGGATAGAGCTCTGTAACAGCATTGGTAAAGAGATGTTGAAATTATTTGCTTACAAGTCAGTGAACATTACAAGAACTATTGGCTAAATCCTCATCCTAAAGCCTAGCATCTGTCTGGGACAGTGAGGGCAGAGAATGAAATCGTGCAAATCAAGACTTGTTTTGGGGCTCTTCAAGATGTTCAGTATTTTCCTCAGACTTCAGGGCAGTGCTCTAACCCCATCTTGTAGTCTGCTGTTTACCAGGTAACATTGAGAGGCAATGTGGCTGAAGGTGGAACTCAAGCCAGAAAGGTTTGGAATCCAGGTCTCTGAGAACGAAGGCCCTTGATTATTTCCAGACAAACACGCTGGAAGTCTCTTGAGGAGGTAATATATAAATCAGGGCTTGATGGATTCCCGTGGGAAGAGGGTGTGGCGTTCTAGGCAGAGATAAAGATGGGAAGAACAATGTATGCATGGGGTGATGGGGTGGAATGGTGTAGCTAGAAAGATCAACAGTGGCTTTACAAGGGCCAGCTGGGTAATGAGTAGGCAGGCAAGGAATAAGAAAATTTGAGAAATGTGGGTTGAAGGTTATTTTCTCCTTTGCTGTAAAAGAAAATAGTAATAATAACACCTGCCAGTAGAGGGGACCATTGATAACAGTGGACTGTGGTAAAATAGAGCTCTTGCAGATTGTTTTCAAGCAGAAACTTAGACCCAGTAGTGTGAGCTTATTTTCCAAGATAGGTCTTTTTTTTTTTTTTTTTTTTTAATGTTACCAATGGGGACCCCTGCGTGGCTCAGTCGGTTAAGCGTCTGACTCTTGATTTTGGTTCAGGTCATGATCTCGTGGTTCATGGGATTGAGCCCTGTGTCCGCCTCTGTGCTGACAGTGTGGAGTCTGCTTGGGATCCTCTCCCGCCCTCTCCCTCAAAATAAACATTAAACCCAAACCCTCCTTTTGGGATGAATCAGCTTTTTGGCTGCTTGTTTGTAATCTCTGTCCTGGAATTGATCTAAATGTGAGAAGGGCTCAAAGGGCTTTGAGTGGAGCTGATAAAATTATATCAAAATCCTATAGAGAAACTCTGGAAAATGCAAACTAAATTACTGTGACAGAACACGCCTCAGTGGTTGCTGGGGTTTGGGCAGGAAGGTGGAATCCCACAGGGGCTTGCGGGAAATTCTGGAAGTGATGGGAAATGTTCACTGTCACGATTGTGATGATGGTTTCGTGGGCATAGGTCAAAACTTATCAAACTGCACCTTTTAAATATGTGTCATTCACTGTATATCAATTATATCTCAATAGAGCGGATTAAAAAAATTCTTTATAGCAGCAGTAGGCTGCTGCAATCCCAATTCCACGGTTAAGCCCTAAGTTTAAACACCCTTTCCTCAATCACTTCCCCAAACTCCAGTTTAGGATCATTCCAAAGAAGACAATTTAGAACTTTGCAACAGGTTTTTATTTTTGCTTTATATCTAGTACAGTGTTTGAAACCTAAAGAAATACATTTTCTCTTCAAATTTGGATGTGTATATAAATATCATTTGTCTGGACTCAGCACACTCAATGCCACGGTTTCTTGGCCTATGTCTGCTCTGAAATCATCAAACTTTGTCTGTCTACCCAGGGGCCCTGAGAACATGGAAAACAGCCAGAGTTTATAGTTGTTGGAAAACTAAAAGCAAATGAATTTGGAAAGAATAAACCAGTGAGGAAGAGGTTTCGATTCAGCGTCCTAGGGTCTTTAGCTGGGAACCCAGGATGTTTTTGAAGGACTTCTGGCCTGTCTTGGGTGGCTGGGACCTCATACCGCCTCTCCACCCCCTACGCTTCTTTAGTGGTTCAAAGACAGTTCCCACAGCAGCTGGCAAAAAGAGAGTACCTAACTCCAGGGCCTGAGAGTTCTTGTAGAGGTGGACTCATTAAAGACATCCTGAGTCAGGGGTTCCCAACCAGTCAGTCTCTGGATCTGAGGTTTGACTTCCTTCACTGCCTCCAGGGCATGGCAGAGTTTTCTCCCCAAACCCAGGGGCTGAAAATCTAACCTACACAGGGGCGCAGGTCTGGCTGTTCAGGTCTGTGCTAAAGTGGACTTCAGGAGTCAGGCTGGCCCAGAAATAACAAGGTAGGCCCGGACCCACCGGAGACCTTTATAACACACTACACAAACCTTTTCCTGGGTGTTCTGGAACCAACCCGAAAGTTAATGCTCCCTCCCACACCTGGTTTTGGCTCTGCACATACCCCAGGCCTGATGAAAAATGCCCTCTCAGAGGAAAAATAACAGCTTTAATTCAGACTTGATTGGCACTAACTTTGAATTCCCTTATCATGGTTTTAGTGGGGGGGTGGACCTAGGGGGTAGACAGTGGGATGGCTGAATCATTTATGAAGGCCTTGGCCAAAGAGCAGCTAGTTCCTACCACATGATCCCTGCAGGATCCATGTTCTCAGCTTGCTGGCTTAACAAAAGAATTCAAGAGTTAAGACACAGAAAAAATACTGGACAAGATTGGTCTACGATGTGCAATCTTAAAACGGCTGTGAAAGAAATCTCCTCTGAGCAAATTCTCAGGCGCACACACTCACTTCTACGACAGTCCTATCCGGAAGATGTCGCTGCTGGTAGTGAGCACTCTCTATGGGTCAGCACACCAAGCCTTGCGCCTTTCCCCTCGCCGGGGAGGCACACGGGCACACACAGGCCTGAGGCCTCCAGCCAGCCTGTTCTCCTTCCAGCTCCCAACTCAAACTCCAGAATCTGAGCTCACAAGATGAATCTACTGAGGAATCCAAGGTGACGGATACTGAACTGAGGGAGTCTCAGGGAGGAGATGTGGCTGGAATGAATGAGCTGAGGCCTCCAAAGAGGGGCACCGTGGGAAGGGGTGGGGGGCGGGAGTACTGTTAGGGGTTCATCTCCTTCCCTTCTGGTCTGCTAGAATGGGGTAAGTCTAGGATACAGAGGAAAGGCAGGTAGACGTGATAAAATGGAAATCCAGTTCATTCTGCTAGGACGGTTTTCATTTTAAACGGGTGTGGCTTGAGAGAAATAAGAGTGTGCCCGAGAGCCTTCTTTTGCTCTTCTTTGACCAAGTACAGTAGCAGCTATAATCTGTGCAGTTTAGCTCCAAAACACACGGCTCTGGGACAGTGGTCTCCAGAGCAAAGGGTAGAAGGAGCAGATCTAAGGGTTCTAGGTAAGGAGGGGAAACAGCAAGGATTCCTGAAAGCTGAGGTCATCAATGCCTGCTCCTCGGAAGGGTCGTGTGTACCCACTGCCCCAGGTAACTAGGCTGCGGCTGAACGCGGAACCCATATGGTTCTACCAGAGGCACTAGCAACACCAAGGTCAGGCAGTCAGTCACTGGGGATAGCTCAGAATGGAGGCGGGTTTCTGAGACTGGAGACTGTAATAGTACTAGAGAAGATGTAGGGGGTGGGATAACCAGAGCGGCTGGCCATAAAATAGCCAGCACTGTTCGAAACAGCACAGAACACTTGAGCTAAGAAGGCGGCTCCCTGTCCCCTAATCCACACCTAGATACCTCCACCTCCACCTGAGATCTTAAAATGGCTAGAGCAGCCATGTGCCCAAATAGAAAGATTCCAAAAACATGTCTTTTCAGGCTATTCAGGCTATTCCCTACAACAGGCTGGGGAGCTCCCTCATCCCTACAACATCCATTCGGAAATCCACCAGAAAGTGCCCTTTGACCTCACCAAGGGCAGGGTCTAGAGTCCAGACGGGGGCTGGCCACAAAGAGTGGCTGTCAAGGCTGGGCTACAGAAATAATGTTCTGCTTCCCAAGAGGGCCAAAGGAGAGGAGGAGACAGAGAAGATGGTATTACTGCCCCTGGGGGCTGGAAGAACCTCACCTGCTGGCTGAAAGGGTAGGTTAGAGGGAAATAATGGGAAAATATGGGCTGAGGAAGACACCAACAAAGGAAAGCTCCTAGAGGCCACTTTATCTGATGAGAAATCTGTCCTCATGTTGTGCCCTGGGAGACTTCACCTTTGAAGTCCTTGGAGAAAACTGGCTTTAAGCAGCAGCCAGAAGATCAAAAGAGAATCTTCCATCTGGTACAGGCTCCAGATCTGAAGTGTAAGATTTTAGAGGTGCAGCTGGGAAAAGCAGGATGTGTATGTCTCACAAGAAAAATCTGGCCCCAATGCCAGGGACTCAGCTATTGCTTGAGATGTATAAAATAGGTCCTACTAAAGTGCTCTGCCCTTTGGATAAGGACGTTGGGGGGGGTGTGTGAGGTGGGGGGGCAGGTGGCTTTGAACTGTAGGAGAACAGTTTTGTGATGGAGGCAGCAGGCCAAGTGACAAGGGTCCTGCCCCTTGCCTACTTGACAAGGGTTGGTGGCTGTCACTCCTAAGCTGAAGAAGAGCATCTGATTTACTAAAGTGGAGCAGCATTGGTGGGATTTTTCAGTGACAACCACAAGCCCCAAACCACCTTTCTCAGAAAATGGTTCTGGGACTGGATCTCAACACTAGGAGAGGGCAAGTTCAAGACCAATGGCCGACAGTGAGCACCTAAACTTTAGATCTGTAAGCAGAGGGGTATAGGTTTAACCTGAGCCGGGCGGGGCCGGGGGTATGGGGGAGTGGGAGCAAGAGCAACACAGTCTCCGGGGAAGGTAAACTACAGCTGGGCGCAGGCACCCAACTGACCACAGTGGGGAAGCAAGAACAGGGCAGGCTGTGCCCACAGCTCCGCAGCTGATCTACACTTGGCCGGCAGCTTTCTCCATCCTTCTCCCCAACAACTGTGCTCTACTATCATGTAGTCCACCAAAGCATAGGTGAGCCACTGAAGCATCACGCTAGCTTTCCTCAAATAGAAAAAGCATTAGGATTATAACTGTCACAAGGAAGGGCAAGACCCAAACCAGGTCCAAGGATTCCCAAACAGGAAAGATACCAGTAACTCTCACAAAAGTCCGGAGGCTGCTAAGTTCCGTGATACCTGGAGAAGCAGCCACGTGTGGGAACTTATGCGGACAGGGCCTTTGAGACAGAATCTAAGAAGGCAGACTGCTTTCTGGGTTTCCTAATATAAGCAGGACACTTAGCAGTAAGGACTAGAGTGGTAGACTTCACGGGGCCCTGGGGCCATCCTTGCTCCCTGCAGGTACTGGGACAGTCAGACCAGGCTGACCTGCTATGTAAAGGTTCCAGCGCTAAGGGTTGGTCCCAGGGGGTGGCCCAGAACCTAAGCAGAGGGGAAAAGGACCAAGCTCAGGCTCCCTGAGCCACGGACCTTCCCCATCTCTTTTTGGTCTTCCTCACAGTACCCTACTTCGAGAAATTACAGACAGTTCTTCCTCTTGAGACCAATTAAGATTGACCTACCTAATATATAGAATATAAAAAAATACAGAACTTTTTGACATTCTCTCCTTTGGAAGTAAAATATACATGATCCAACTATGGAAGAGGACAAGGAAGAAGAAAGGCCAAAGGCAGGGATCCCTGGCTATCCCAATACATGACGTTCTCACTCCAGCCGCCTCTGCAACTGATGGGTCACCAGAGCGAGGACTTTCTCCTCAGGAGAGAGGAAGGCCCACAGACCTCCGTCTCGTGCTTAGGAGAAAATACAGCTACCTCAGAGGTTCATTCAGCTCCGAGGGGAATTTTCAAGTAAACAAATGAAGCTGGGTCGCACCACAGGAAGGTGGGCAGGGAACGTGGGGTCAGCAGCGGCACATGGGAAGCCCCATCCAAAGGCCTGTGCTCCTCCCTCCCCTCCCCTCCCACTGGTGCACGTGCCCCTGGAGAGGGAAGGAGATCTCCCAAGCTAAAGAGGTCCAGGAAAGGGTTAGAGGGAGGAAGGGGCCTTTGTCTCATGGTGGCC